TTTTTTTTTTGAGTATGAAGTAAATTTGGGTATAATACTGTATTTACTGCATTACTCACACAGTATTTTATTCACTGCCTTGATGTTGATGGTCATTCCGATTTTCAGTGAAAAACGAAGTAAAAGCTTATGCGATATATACAGTATATATATATATATGTCTTTTTTTCAATAACTGAGGCAAGAGAAAGTCTCTTTAATTCGAAATCCAAGGGTGTAGCACCGTAACTTCCTGAAAACTCAATGCGTTGCGAATACAGTACAATAAGTCCAGATTTTGCTGCTCAGATCTTTGACATTACCGTGAATGCGTATGCATATGTCTGCCGTCCTGAGATTCAGCAGTGTGTCACGTTGGGGAAGTTGAGTAAGGGTGCCCCCTTACCAAAACGAGCGCCATCTAGGCGACCATTCTGGCGAAAAGCCAAACGTCCAAAGATCACACCCAACCCCACTCCTCTTATCGATGAATCAGGGGAGCCGCTGGCAGGAGGTTAGCGGAGCAGGAGAGGAACCTCACTTCGTCTTGAGCTTTTAACCTGACAACTCCTCTTGGTCTTGACGTTATCCCGAGTCTTTTATTGTTGTGACAAGAAATACATCAAGTGTTCGTGGAGAAGAGGTCTACTGTATTCTTCAACCTTATTGGGGGCTCGAGCCAACCCATAGCGATCGACTTCACGGAGACACTTCTTCTTCTATGGTGCGTACGACCGAAAACTCTAAAGCAACACCATACGCCCGCGCCCAAGAAATGGCTGGACAGTCCGAACAGAACGAGTCACCGCCCGCTGAACGACGCCCGGAGATTCCCGCTGCCAGGCGCACCGAAACTCCTTCTGGGGACTCAGCATCGTCTTCTGGCTCCAGTGTGTGGGAAACTCTTCCACTTGCAACGCTGCACTTCATCGCCGAAACATATCGCCTGGGTCATCCGACCGTCGTGTCTGCTTCCAATTATGCAGCCCAATTCGACAGGCTTCAGGTACCGTTGTCCGCTCTTTTCAATTTTCCGAGACAACCGGAGCCTCTGCTCCCAGCCACGCAGCTTCTTCCCATGGATCCCCCGGGTCCGGTGCCTCACCGCTTGCCAGTGCTACCGCCACGGTGGTTCTCAGAGCCACAGATCCCTGATCTTCCGAAGCAGCAAGCCGAAGAAGAATTCGAGGACTACGCCATGCGGCTACGCAATCGTCTGGAAATCGACAACATCAACGACGGGCATCGCGTCAGGTGTTTGATGGATAACACCTTACCCCAGATCCAGAATACGGCGCATCGACTCTACAAACGCGGCATCACCGACTTCGAACCGTTGGTTGCTGCTATCTCCAGTCGTCATCCGACTCCTTTTCTTGACAGGCTCGACTCGTTCCGACGCATGAAACCCGACGAGGGCGAGAGCTATATCAGCTTTGCCGAACGACTCCGGGACCAGCTGGAAACTTTTCTTCACTTCTCCGCTGACGTCTTGGAAGCATGCGAACCTCTACTACAGCAGATGCTGATGGAGCAGCTACTACGTGGATCCGAAGGAGGCCTCCGAGACGAACTACAACGAAAATGGCAGAAAAATCGGGCGCTGACGTGGGACGAAATGGTGGACATTGCCGAGGCGTATCGTCTAAACCATCGAGGTAAAAAAGACCAGCCGACCGGGAACAAGACCAGTTTCCGCAACAGGCATAACCTGCCCCCGCGACAATGGTGTGAGTACCATAAGCGCCAAATGCGCCACGGCTCTCACGAGTGCCGACTTCGACCTAATCAATCCACTTCCGCCAGCCCAACAAGGGAAACCGGTTCTGCTAAACCTGCCTCCATTTCGAATTCGCAGACTGTTTCGCAAACGAATCGCGCAAACGAGAATTCCTCTGTTACCTGTTTTCATTGTCATAAGCAAGGTCACATGTTTCGCGAATGTCCGCAGGTGCAGGGAAACTCGAAGTCAGCACAGTAAACGCGGCTAACTGTGCTTTGCCAATCCTCTCCGCCGCACCTCCGCCAGTGGTTCTCACCGTCTCCATCAACGACCAGATTCTTCATGCACTCATCGACACAGGTGCCTCCCACTCTTTTATTTCCAGTACCCTAGTTAATACCCTGAATTTGCCCCAAGTTCCATTGCACTCCCTGATTAGTACCGCCCTGGGTCCCGATCCCATGCCCGTCCATAGTTCAGTTAAGGTGTCGTTTCTGTTTCACGACATTTCCTACCCTGGGATGTTTCTTGTTTTACCGAAATTACGCGAGTACGATTTTATTTTTGGACGAACGACCTTATTGCAATTACCGGTCGCGATTACGATCGACGGGCAGAGGTTATTTACAGGTTTTCGTGAGATTACGCGTGCACCATCCAAGCCTGCTCTCCCGGTCGGGGAGGGTATCGTGTTTGTCGACGGAACTCCCGACGAACGCAGGCAGGTCACCGAACTTCTCTGCGCCCACGCGCCTCTCATCCGACAGTGGTCAGGCAGGCGAGGCCTCTTCATCGATCACGTCGTCCGGATACCCACCATGGAAGGCACTCCACCTGCCATGCGGCAGTATCGTCATTCGGTGGAGCGCAATGCTCCCTTCGCCGAAATCATTGACCGGTATGTGGAGGCAGGCATTTTAGAACCCGCCGCCTCCCCATACAACGCCCCAGCTTTTCTCGTCGACAAGAAGGACGCAAAATCCGACGCTCCTGTGGACAAGAGATTCCGGCTCGTTGAGAACTACAAAGAGCTCAAAAAGCTCATTCCAGACGACCAATATCCGATGCCCGTAGTTCAGGAACTCATTGAAGCGCTCGGACGAAACAACAAGTATTTTTGCGGTTTAGATCTTCACGACGCTTACCATCATCTTCCAATCGCGCAGGAAGATAGGCCGAAAACCGCGTTTATGACTCCGCGTGGTCAAATGCAATACAAAGTTTTACCTTTCGGTCTGAAAAATGGTCCACCGATGTTCCAACGCGCGATCAATACGATTTTACGCCCGCATTTGTTTAAAAAGTGTCTTGCTTACGTGGACGATGTTCTAGTTTTCGGCGAAACGTTTGAGATACTCTGTCAAAATTTATCAGATGTTCTTACAGCGTTACAGGATGCCGGTGCAGCAGTCGACATAAAAAAATCAAGTTTTCTTGCTCGCCAAACGCTTTTCTTGGGTCATATCATCGATCAAACGGGAAGTCGACCAGCAGAGCGCAACGTAGATGCGGTGAAGGATTATCCGCAACCATCTACTACGCGACAAATGCAGCGCTTTCTGGGGATGGCTACATATCTCCGCGCGCATTTGCCGACAAACTTCGCCAACTCGGAGAAAGCTCTGCGCTCCATCATTCCTAAAAAACCCGAGACGCGTTTGCATTGGACTGCTGAAGCACTATTGGCCTTTGAGCACCTAAAAGACTGTTTGGCAGAAACATCCAAACTCGAACGGATCGATCCTCGCCTCCCTCTCTCAGTACACTGCGATGCCTCAGCCATCAGCCTGGGAGCCGTCCTCGTGCAAACAGATGAACAGGATCATCATCGGATTATCGAATACGCGAGCAGAGTGCTGACTGATACAGAAACCCGGTACACCAACACAGAGCGGGAACTTCTTGCTGTGGTATGGAGTGTAACTAAGAAGTTTAAACATCATCTTCTACACAGGCGCTTTACAGTTAACACCGATCATAAAGCTCTACTAGGGGATCTTCAAACTGAACGTGCAGTTAGTTTATACACCAAACTNTGTCGTATAACGAAAACTTACTGAAATGCATACGACTTTCACAGAGGCATCACGGAATTAGTTTCCGAAGTGAGGGTGCGAACTGCACTGAATGAAGGAGGAACTAAAACTGTGTTTACTCGAATGCGAGCGTCACAGGTTTTATGAGATTAACGGAATAAGTTATGATATTCAGCCGCGAAGCTTAAAATAAAAATATATTCTGGAATGCTGGGCCGAAGCCAAGGAATTGTCGTCACTAATGGAGTTGTCCGCAGGCTTCACTCTGTCTGAGAAAGCAATATTTTCGCCGAGAAACACACCGAAAAATACCTTTCTCTGTTCCTCAATGTGCTGGCAGTATTACATGACAAAATCATGAATTCCCAGTGGCTCTTACTTGAGTGTTACCCGCGGAAATCGCTGAAAGCAAGATGATGTTTGGGGGATCGACATGTTGATTTCTTTCAATAGTTACGAAACTGAAGTATCTAAGAGTATATACTGACTTGATCAGAACTCGGCATGAGCCACAAATCCAAGAAAATCCCTAAATCACGCATAAGAGATTACAAGTGCATGAAATCACTTCAAATCGAACAGAAATGTAGTATTGGACTTCTGTCATTCATTCAACGAAGTGCACATTCCTGAATATATGAAGAAAAGCATTGAATTTATGTTTTCGACGATTCCAGCAGATGTTTTCTGGTGTGATTAGAAGGGATTTGTATCGTTTTACAGGCGATGTTTAAATAACAACGAAGCTAAAAACGTAAGGCCAATCTCGTTGCAAAGCGCATGGCTGGTCTTATTTACCAAGAAACACAATCCTATTTTAATGAAACTGAAAAGGGAACGATTGCACCGGCGGCGTGAGAGAACACTTATCGAAGGTCGCGTGGTATTTCGGGACTAAGGATGTCGTGAAAGACAGCGATCGTCGAAATCACGTCGTGTGAGGACATTCTTGGGGATACCGAGCGGATTATGATACATTTTTTCCGACGACGAACCACTGAAATATAGTGTGTATGCTTTCCAGGCTTCGATGTTACCCCTGTGCTCGATTTCAACGATGTGATGTGCCATAAAAATCAAATAACGTAAGTGTTGAGTTTACATCGAACGAATGGGAAAGGAGCAGGAGCTTGTGGAAGCCGCTCGCAATGGGAATTACTGCCAGGTCGAGAAGCTACTCAGTCTCCGCACGAAGCGAGTCGGACCCTTAGCGAGGTACGCTCCGTTATCATGCCTCGATTATGGTAATACCGTAACATGTCAATCTCTCATGTTTTTTTAGTTTGCGTCGAGGGCCAGGTCCCAATGCGCAAGATGCGAGTGGGTATTCCGCTTTGCATCATGCGGCGCTCAACGGTCACAAGTAAGTGCTCCCAAGTACAATCTTAAAATTTATTTGTATTGCAAATGTTTGCGTCGAGGGCCAGGTCCCAATGCGCAAGATGCGAGTGGGTATTCCGCTTTGCATCATGCGGCGCTCAACGGTCACAAGTAAGTGCTCCCAAGTACAATCTTAAAATTTATTTGTATTGCAAAACCTGTTGGATGTTGAAGGGATGTTGTCGAGCTGTTGTTGTCACACGAGGCGTCGACGAATTTGGTCGACTGCAAAGGCTCAACACCGCTGCATCTCGCGGCTTGGACCGGCAAGTCTGATATCGTCGACGTTCTCTTATCCCGAGGACCCTCCATTCCGGACGTCAATTGCATGGTAAGTTCGCTTTGTGCAGAAAATTTGAGTGGCCCGAGAAAATTTATTGTAAGGATCTTTCTGTGATCAGCTACTGTTTGTTCTCTCCTGAAAATTTCTTGGAACCCGCTTTTGTCGCCTAAATAATGCCCTGATTGTCATGAACAATTTTCTTTTGTGTGTGTATTGTTGATATCGCGTATTTCGTGAGAGTCTAGTGATGTCAAGCTCATTGATATGCTTCTATTTTCCATTCAGAATCGAGATAACGATACTGCCTTGCATTGCGCGGCACAATACGGTCACACTGCAGTTGTGACCTTGTTGCTTGAGTATTCCGGGGATCCGACGATCAAAAACATGCGAGATGAAACTCCGCTGGATTTGGCTGCCCAATACGGTCGCTTGGATACCGTGGATCTCTTGATTCGGTCTCATCCCGAACTACTTCTGCCGTATTCGAAGGAAAATTGCAAGCACAGAGCTTTTGGAATCACGCCGCTGCATTCTGCTTCAAGAAATGGCCATAAGTGAGTTTGGAATTCATTCTTCGAGTTGACTCCGCTCCGTCAAACATTTTCTCGAACTGTAAATATATTTTTCACATATGGGTTTGCCGATGATACTGTAGGATGATGAATTAAAAATATATACTTTAAGAACGATGAGTGGCTGATGTGTATGCATTGAAATAATATTTTGAAAGAAGGGATCAGTTCTTAGAAGAACTTCTTTTCAGTCTCATTTCCCCCAGAAGTTTGAAAAACAACAATTCGAGGCGAAGTGAATTCATTTCCGCGCAGGGAAAGAGTGTCAGTGTGAGAATTTTACTTCATCGTAGACAATTTATTAAAATTAATTGTTGTGTAACTGAAATACGTGGACTTCAGTCGTTTAGTGTTCCCGAACTATTTTTATTTGCGTTGTCTTCACGAAATCCTTGATGAAGAACGCGAAAGCTTCGTGTGAAACGAACATTTGAGCCTGTAAAGGATTTCTTCTGAATCGATGGAGCTGCCATCTTTCAGGATTTATGTGTTTGAGTTATGCGATTATCGTCGAATTCTTCATTTGCAGGAACGTGGTTAATTTGTTGCTGAAGAGTGGCTTTGACGTGAATGCCGTCACTCCTGTGGGTACAGCTTTGCATGAAGCCACATTG